TTATAATGAAAGAGTATATGTGGGTTTTAGTAGGGTTTATATTTGTAAATTGAAACCCCAGATTCCCAGCATCATCCGATTCCCAGCATCATCCCCGACATTAATTAAATATAAATAATTAGAACTTTGAAGACATCCTATTGGCACGTAAGTACACTCGTTCCTGGTTTTAGCGCGCAGTTACCTTATTTGGTATATTTCCGGACTGCATTTTTTTGTTTTTATTTCACGTTACACCTGATTTGATTTGCTTGATTAGTAACGCTAACAATAACTTAATTAACCTTATAAATATGTTCTTAGTATTAAGAAATATATGATCTCCATAAAGAACGTTCCATTTATAAGAGCTTAATTTATTTATTTGTTATTAATTCATCAGGGCGGTAAAAAATTCAAGCAAAAATTGATGAAAAGAGACAAATAACGAAGACAAGTATAATATACGTATTACGATGAACACTCAATTTTTATACAGGGATTTAAACATTTTGCATATTCGTGACTTTTTTTTTTTGCTGCTTTGAACTTTGCTCAGCTTAGCATTACTAAAGAATAGTCTATATACAAAGATTTCAAGTTTGTAATACAGCAAATTGCTTTTTTCATTAAAAATAACCGATCGTCGCAGTAAGCGAAAATCAGTAAAAGCGAGAACTCCTTATCATGTTAAATTGCGTTAAATTAATAATCATAAATTCGAGATCATCTTATAATGACGTTAAATTAATAATTGCGTTACGTTAATTAATAATTCAAATAATTTCACTAAATCATCGCCGTTGTATTGATAGTGCCAAGGGTTTACAGGTCGTGACGAATGTGCTTGTTATGTAACATGGACCGTTTCACTCCAGTGTTTGGATTTGGCGTATATTTGTTTTAATATTGGTTACACCTGATTTTAGAATTCGATTTTACGGATATCGAATTATTTTAGATTGGTACCACTAGGACAGTTCATAACATGTGGCATGAGTGGGATAAGACGAAAAAGTACACATATATTATTTGGGAAGCACAAGGGACATTAGTGAGATGTAGGACATTTGTGGTATAAATGCTATATGTTCTGATTAGCGGGAATTTATTACATATAATATTGACAATATTCGTTCCACTTTACAATTTTTTTATTTTTATACAAGACAATCTCTAAATGCAGGGTCGATCATTAAACAATATTAGTAGACGATAATTTCAGTAAAATTTTAAATAAATTTGGAAAATTTTGTTTATTCCGAATTCCAACTCAGCATTTTAGGATCTTTGTTATATAAATAGAGGACACTACATAATCGATTCTAAACCAAACATGCACTCCTTTGAATTACTAAACCTATACATAAATTCTCGCTCGTTCATGCTCTAACCATTATAATAACAACTGTACATTCCTGTGTTCTTGCGTTCATATGACTATTGTCTCGGTTAGTTTTGATTTCCGAGAATTAATACTGCAAATTTTGAATTTAACTGGTAAACAGAGGTGTAACTACCTTGTCCAATCGGAAATGCCATTTAAATATATATGAAGACATGTCATAAAAATTATGACGTACGTACGTGCACTTGCAGATAATCCGTCATTCAACAATGACCTAAATGCCTAAAAACACATCATTTTTTTTAAAATAGCACACGTTGTGAAATTATCGGATAGATTATACAAATGCTATTGAAAGATTCCTAATAAGTAAAGTATATGCAGTGACAAAATAAGGACCATATAAATAATTTTTTAATTGTTATAAAAATAGATGTATGACTCAATCTTCAGTTGATAAGAGGTTACCACTGTTCGGGATTGGCCTAAAATACATAATGCAGGGCTTTAAAGTTTGGATCACATAATTATGAAATTTTATAAATGAGGGATAGTTAGATTTTAGGATGCATAACTAAGTATAACTAAAAAAAACTAAGATAAAATGGCTGTAAGGTTGCAAAATTATTGTCAGCCGTATATGATGCGTGCGTAGTTACGCAAGCCTTATCCTAGTTTGGAATGATTAATAAATCATACAACGACCATATTGATCACTGTGAAAACAAATAAAAACTACAATCACGATATTAAAATATTTCTATCAAGATGGGCTTATGCAATAGTAAAACCAGAGAGGGTAAATCACCATTTTCTCTTAATTTTAACGGCTTAAACTCAAAAAATATTAAGTCACAAAATAGCCGTGATTCCAATAAATTTTGTTTCGAAGATGGTAGAAGATTTCATAATGTAAAGGATGCGGTATACTTTTTACCTAATGATGATGATGAATGTGACAGATTACATTTACAGCATTTTATAGAGAGATATGTTTGGCAAAGTAACTTTTTCGCCCCTATTGATCATCTTCTCAACCAAGAAGGGACAAAAGTTCTTGATGTAGGGTGAGTTATTCTATAATAATAACCTTAATAATGATAGCAATAATAATAATTAATCGGACTTACTAAATCACACTAGTGGAGTTTAACCAAACTAGTTAAGTAATTAATACTTGATGCTGGAATCAAAAATGTTTGGCATCTCGAAAAACCATTTTCTAATCTTATCTCTAGTCCTACTTTCAAACCCTGATTTCAAATCTTATTGTATTTAATGACATAAAAACATATATGATGTTGAGCATTACTATATTACTGTGTGATTTAAATTTTTGTAGCTAATATGATTATTATAACTATTTTTAATAATTGCTTTAGAACAGGTGCTGGCTCTTGGTTACTTGAAATGGCATCTAATTATCCGAAAGCAAAATTTATTGGAATAGACATTTCACCAGTTCAGCCAGACCTTATTAAACCTAAAAATGTAGAATTTATTGAAGCAAATGTATTAGAGCCTTTACCATTTGAAGATAATACATTCGATTATATATTTCAACGAATACTGTATGTTGGAATTCCTGGGAAGAGTTGGCCCACCGTTGTTAATGAGCTAGTTCGTGTGTTAAAACCCGGTGGTTATATAGAGGTATACATTATTTACATAAAATATCTTATTTAGAATTGTTAAAAACCTGTTAATTTTTTTTTAGTTAGTAGAAGCCGACTTTCAATATAGTATTATGGGACCTGCAACAACAAGGATTATTAATGGCAGTAAGGGTCATATTAATTCATCTACCAAGATGACTTTGGCTGTATAAAATTCTGATCTTATATGCGTTTTTTTAGTATTAATTATGTTTGATGAACGTGGTTTGGATCCAACTGTATGTTACAAAATACGAGGCTTTTTAGAAGAGCATGAGCAACTTCATGAAGTTCATTGTGAAATAAAAAAAGAATTAGATGGTAAAGATAGTGCAAAATTATGCAAATTGGTAATGTACAAGTTTTAATATCATGATTTTCTATACATTCAAAAGAATTTATAATTCATTGTTATTTAGTCATATGAAAATTATACCACTGCCCTCATGACTATGAAACCAAAACTTATGAGTATAATTGGGGCTTCAAATGATGAATATGACGAACTAGTTAAAAATATGGGAAATGAATTAATAGAATTTGAATCTTTTAATTCACGAGTACGTGTTTATGCTCAGAAAAAAATATGACAATTATCATAAGGCCGCTTGAAGTTGAAACTTCGTTTAACGTTATCCCCCCCTCCATCTCCCGGGTTCCCCCAAAAATTAAACAAATTGAAATGAAAATTTGAAGCAGTCTGGGTTTTTCGGTTTACGTCGGGATTTCTCGATACACTATGTTTAATTTTTATGTTTGTTTAATTTTCATCCTCCCCCCTCTATAAATACGAAAAAACTAACGTTAAGCGAGGTTTTAATTTCAAGTCGCCTAAAAAAGTAGCTTTCAATATTATTAAAAAATATTATTAAAATTAATTATATCAATCGAAATAACTAATTACACTTATTTATTATAAATAATTGTGTAATGAAGTATTATGCTAAAAATTTAAATAAATTAAAAGTATGGAAAATATCAATAGTTTACAAGCTGATCGTAGTGTAGCAATATTGGTTTGCCACTGTTATTACTGTTATTACTGTTATTACTGTTATTACTGTTATTACTGTTATTACTGTTATTACTGTTATTACTGT